ACCATCCACTCAAAGGTAACACTAGACCAACCAAGGACACAAGAAAGGAACACTACATCATCCAGTCAAAGGGAACACTGGACCAATCAGTCACAGGGAACACTACATCATCCATCCATAGGCAACCCTATACCATCCAGTCACAGGGAACACTGCACCATCCAGTCACAGGGCACATTGGACCATCCAGTCACAGGGAACACTGCACGACCCATTCACAGGGAACATTGGACCACCCATTCACAGGGAACGCTATACAAAATGTACCATCCAGTCACTTGGAACACTGTGCACCATTGAATTGTTATCTGAGGCAAGTGTAACACTATGATAATGGGTTTAATAAAAAGAAGTCACTTTATAATTTTGTTTATCACTTTCATTAACTAAGTTCCTCAAAACATAATAAAACTGAAAAATAACAATGGTTGGGGAAATTTAGGGTGGGGCTGGTCTATGGAAAAGTGAAGCATTTCACTATTTTTTTAAATATGTACTTTTTTCATATAATTTTTTCTAATGAACCTTATCAATTCAAATAAAAACACATATAACAAAAATATGTCTGCAGTGGGGAATTTTTTTGTTATTTAAGTGTTGATATGATTGAATCTGGGTGAATAGCAAAAAAATTGGTGAAAAAAGTTAATCTGTAAGAAAATAGTGTAATGCTTCACTTTACCATGCCATGGTGAGGTGAACCCCCCCCTCCTAAATGTCCCCACCCTGATAAAAAAATTAAGTGAAGAAACAACATATAAAAACAAAATATAAAGTGGCTTCACTTTACCATTCTGGGGTTTCATTTCACCATAATGATGAAATAAACCATGGGCTTCATTCATTTAACCATAATGATGAAATGAACCATGGGCTTCACTTAACCATACTACACCGGAATTATCTTATTGGGTTTTTAATTGTTTTATAGAATATAGACTTTACAAGCCAGCATATTTTACTTGTTATCTCAGCAAGACCTGGTGTATTTCACTGGAATCTTGTGGGACTAAGACAATATACATAAATAATGTAGGCTTACAAACATGTGCATGTCCTGGTATATACAATGGCAGTATATCACTTTCATCAGGGACTGTAGAATCAGGCAATTTACATGTAGAAATTATTTATCAACAATCTGTGACAAATTATCAATCCCTTGTGGTGCATGCTGAATTAACTGTAAAATGCATTAAGTTTTTATAAAAATTAAGTCGTGCCATTTTTTCACAATGCTAATAGTTTTAACTCTCACGAAGCTGTCATCTATATTTGATAGATGCTGGAAGATCTTGGTTTTAGCAACAAGGGGATAAGCTGTTTAGTATGAATGAAGTGTTATTGTCATTTCACAACACCTTAACAAATTAACCATTGATTAGTGTATTGACATGACACTGAAATTGACAGTGGTTTCTATCATGGATAATGCTGACATTAGGAATTTTATAATTCGGTCAGTTTACATTACCTGGCATGTCGTCAACAAAATAAACACATGCCTGTCGTACCTGTAATTAATGGTGTACAACAGGTGAGAAACTGTACCTGAATTAGTCCAAGTGCGTACTATTAACGTACGTATCCCACACCAGAAACAGTTCCCTAGTTAAGTATTAAATTCTGCTCTGTTCTGTTTACTGTTGTATGGAAAGAATTCCACAACAAGGCCACAGGACGACATGAGTGTCGATACCGGGGAGGATGTGCTACTTATCTCCCTTTAGTATATTCATTATGTTGTCATAATAAACACGGCTCTCGGGGTGGGGCCAAAAAGGGGTAATCGATAACCATAACGCAAACCTGTGGAGTCGCACGTGCTATGGAGGGACAACCAGGAACCGTCTGTGTATAAATACTACCACCACTGACCATAATAATCAAGAAAATAATTTGTTTATATTTCTCGCTAATTTTGTAACCCATACATTTCCTCTTTCTTGCTTTCCCTTTTAACATATCTATCCTCTTTGGTAAATGTTCTCTTCCCTTGCGTCTTACAGGTTGTAATCGGTGGACCATGAACACAGTATAATACAGCATCCAACTCGCTCTCAATTTATTATCAAATGGGTTCGGAGCTCAATTGGGACCCGAATTAATATAATTCTTTATATCTCTAATATAATTTTCTGATATCATATAGTGTAACTATATACTTTGAAGGTTGTGTCAAATCTGGTCTCTGTGATATGGGTCAAAGTAATTTCTTTCCGTTATGTTGTTTTTTTATTAATAAAACATTTAAATTTAATTTTCTAACATTTTTCTCTTATTTTCCTTAAATAATATCTAAAAATATCAGTACTGCAAAAAGACTACGCGAGACTATACTTTGTTTAATGGTTTGTGAAAATGAATTGTAAAATTTTGCAGGCCACGTTCAACAATTTTCATACGACTTCTTATCGATAACTAAAGATTGAGAATCATGATATTTGGTCAGGAGGATCCTGGGATAAAATCCGACAACGTTGAGGAAAGAAGTAGCCTCGATGACCTATATTCAAGCAACAAGGATCAGCTTTTTTAAGAGCTTTAAACAACTACTTCAGTAATGAACCAAAATTTGGCCGATAGGATCCCAAGTTTAAGCACAAATGGATTATTATGAACAATATTCTAGATCACGTGTGTCAAAAATGTCAAAATGTTATTTTTTCGTTTTTGACATTTTTGATTTTTTTAAGGTCGGAATACCAGGTGAGGTGAGCAGGTCCATCGGGATTTAAGTTCCGTTTTCCGTTTTAGGAAGCGATAGGGCGATAGGTCTCGTTAGTTTCTAGATCCGAAATAACAAAATGACACGTATTTGTCCCCATATCATACGGTACAAAAGGTTCTCAGGTAGCGAAAATGGCTGGAATAAGAGAGATAGATTTCCTTGAGATATGGTGGGACACTTGATATACCTTCCGGTTCCAAATAAAATATTAGTGTATTTACAAAATAACATCGTTCACTTCCGGTCCCACATGAAGGTTTTCCTACTTGATATCACATTAAACGATAACGTTAATAGCAATACCGGCAATCAGTCAATGACCGGTTGTCTGGTTTGGTATTAACTAATATTGCAAGGTGTTATTACGACATAAAAGATGATTAAATTGCTTGGTTTGAAAAAATCAATCACCCAAAGACGAAATAAACTGTAATAATATTCTAGTTTCATTTTGTAAAGAAAGATTCGTGTCTTGTTTGGATTATTGTGTCCGAATTTATAAAATGGGGCTTGAGGAGAAAAGGGACAAAGCAAATGAATAAAGTTTCACGTTCTGTTGGTAGAAATATGTAAGATAATCACCGGTCTCGCATTGTTGAAGTTGAAGTCCAAGATCTTGAGGTTTTGCTATGCACAATAGACATTTGTCAGAAATGACAAATGTACCACCAAAATATGTCAACATTAATCGGAAAGGTAATCATTTGCCATGAGATTTTTAAAATCTTAATTTAAAAAAAAAATAGTGTAAGAAGTAAATCATCATCAAATTCAAATTCAGTTGAGATCGAAGCAGTATGTGAAAATATAGATCGATTAACTCCTACAGAATCTAGTTTATAAGTAAAGTCGTTATATACAGGTTATTGACTCAGCTATTTGGAAAAAAGAGAGATAGCAATAATTGATAAGGAAAAGATGGTTGCTTGGCGCAAACTTGTCCAACTTTTACCAAACTAAAAGCTTATACAGTTTTGGAACAGTGGAATGCCACATCCACCCCGCTGCAAATGTAAAGAGTTTATACGTAATTTTGTTTGTTGTTTACATATTAATTTCCTGCATAATCGGACAATAACAAGTTAAATTTCAACCAATCAGAGTCTTCAACTAATAATAATTATAGACATCGATAGGCAACACCATCCATGTGACTAAGTTTCAGTTTCTAAAGACTAAGCTATGAGCCATTACACAAAAGTTTGTCTAAAGTGATTAATAAAATTTCTGAAAAAAAAGAAAAATCTACTTATGGTATCTAACATTCCTGTGTAGTTTCATAGAAATTGTGTGGAATAAGAGTTAATAAGAATTTTCCTGTGCGATTTTCAGTTCTTCGAACAGACAAGCAAAAGAACAGACAACAGACAAGCAAAGACATTTGGAGCTTGCTGACGGACGGGCTGCAGGAATCTGAAATAATGTCTATACAGCCGGAGTACATTGCAATTCCTTAGAGAGGTTCAAATAAGGAGGTTTTTTCTGATATAAGAAAATAAATTGTGATATAAAAAAAATTCGGACACATTTCCTATAAATCCAAAGTAATATTTTCGTTATTTTCTACACTGAAAATTTGATTTTTTGATTTTTAAGGCATGTTTTCTTATATCAAGAGTTGAAGATTTTGATATCAGAAAGCAAACACGATTTCTTAATCCTCTGGTATTAGTTAAGGGATTTTCTTTACATTAAAAACTAGATTTTTATATCAGTTGATATCATGATATATATAATTAACATAATTGATATCAAAAAATATTTTTTCGTGTAGATAACCAAATGGCACTTCTTTTTTTTTACCTATTTTCTGATATCAGAAACTGTAATTTTTCCGTTTTTTGTATCAAGACTGAATAGATTTTTTGACATTAGAAAATACTAAAACGGCGCATCATAGGCCTAGTTCTCTCTCTGGTTGCAATTATTTCTTTCCGTCATGGCCAATCAGAAAATTCTGGCCTAGGGGAGATAAATCCTACCAGAAACAGATCAGCTGATCAGTGCATGGCATTGCAGTGAGTAATACATAGTAAATCAGCTGACCGTGACAACAATTAGACAAGACGATACGTTCATAAAATCAGTACTTTGTATATATATATCTATAAGAATAGAATGAACCTGTCAGTTTATCTTGCAAATGTTGAATCAATCATTTAGTTTTTCGGAGAAAGTCGCTAAAAGCGCTTCCCTCGCAACGGAAACAGGAAAGGGAATCCCCGCGTGATCAGTCACATGACAATTGGTGACGTCATTAATGCCTGCCATCATGTTGGACATAACAGGAGCTTGAGTTCGTGCTTTTGAAAAGACTTTCTGGATTTTGAGTAAGTATTGTTGTTCAGCATGTTCGTGTATTTAGCACTTCTTGCGTGGGCCTATATTTAATTGAATTGTATGTCTTTTATTGTAACGTTCTTTCATAACGCTTAATACGTAGGCAGTGCCCGGGGGTCGCGATGTGTGTCAGGAAGATGTCCAGTTGTTGTGAAGAAGAACCTACCTGCTCACACAGGTGTGAATGGTTTTCCCATTATATTTAGGGAACATCGTATAACATATGGCACACGCCGCGACCTAATTTTGTCTTCTTTCCACTTTTTCTTCCTACAACAATACGACTGATCATGTGATGCAGATAGTTGGTGGTATTTTGAAATAGATGAATATTCACCTACACATGATTTCAGACATGTAGAGCGGTAATTTTATATTTTCCCCGATGAGTCCAGTACACCATTCAAGATCTGTTTTCCAGTCGCAAAGAAACATAATAGGTTCTCAAAATTTGAGTGAGTCCCAAACGAAAACATGATGCCAAGACTTGGATATTCGAGTCCCAAAAATCTTTGAAGATGATAGAAGTTAGAACCAGATGGTTACTGTGAAGGATTTATATTTTGTTATTTTAAGTTGAGTTGTGGGGCAACGCAATAACAATATGACAAAGATACAATAAGTATGATTAAGCACTTAACACATGCCGACAGGAAAAAAAGATTAAATCTCATGATATCTATTAAAAAGACCTTATTTCCAAATTAACATTGCTTCAATTTGATCACTTAAAGCACGGACTTAAATAATATACAAGTCCGTGCTTAAAGTAACAATTGAGATCCAAAGTTTTGAAAACATATTGTAGAGAAAGTACATCTTGTTATCGTTCACTGCAAAGTGAAGTACTGAACATTCCTGTGCATACCTTTAGTATTACGGTGTATGCATAGGCAAAATCCATTTCCCTGACTGTGTCAAACAGTACAGTAATGGTTAATCAAGTGTGTAATGTAGCTAGTTACGAAGGCGGAACAGACCTCATGTATCTTATAATCGCTGATCCACAGACGAAGAGTGTCGACCAGAACACAATTAAACATTAATCGTTTTGTAACAAATATGTTTACTTGCATGTGAATAAGGGATTTGATTTCAGTCAATGAATGTAGTGGTAATCTTGAAAAAGTCTCATTTCGATACATACTGATAAACGTCACTAGTCCAAATTTCTGTGTGTCAGCTCAGGTAAATAGTAATACCTGGCACTAGTTGCAATGTAGTGTTTGGGGTCCAGCTACAGTGATATTCTCTTTAGCTTAAAGGGACTAAATTATTAGATATTCATTTCATAATTGATAAAAAACATTATAACATTTAAATATCTGTTAAAAGTTGTGTACTTTCTCTTAATTATAATATTTTAAAGTTTGCATAACCTTTTGTTAATGTCAAAAAATCAAAATAAAATAGGAGCGACCTATCACTGATTCATATCATTATCGTTCAGAGAGTAAACAATGTCTTCGGACATGCAGTTTTGGGTGAAGATTAATTCAAATTCATTAATTTCGCTCTGTCGTGCATAAAGTGTGAAACGAGAGGTTATTAAACAAAAACAAGAATTGAAACATGACTGGCAAATTCAGTTTTGGCTAATTACATAATTATACATATTAAGAAATCATGTCAAAACAGGTTAAAACAAGGCTTTGAAAGGTCACATAGTTTGAATCTTATAATTTTGTGAAGAATTCAAAGTAATACAATGCTTGCCTGAAATCAAATGCACAGGAAAAAATAATGAAATCTAACCATTTTGTCCCTTTAATTGGTTGAGTATAAAACTATTAAGCAAAAAGTCTGGATTCATTCCCTAACAGAGTCATTGAAGGGACTTGGGGATTATTCTTAATGTTACTTAGCAAGCTTAAGTGTAAGCACAGGAAACTGGAGTTAGAGTTGGTGACAGTATGTAAACTGTTTGCCACATTATACTGCATGACTAGAGAAATCTTTTCTTCAGCTTAATAGGTTGAATGTAAGAATTATAAGCCATAGGTCCTGGGTTTGAAATTACTTCAGATTGATGCCAGTGGTATATTTTTCAATAATTGTAAGTTTTGTGTGCACTGATAACATTTACTAAATTTGATTTCTGAGTGTACTAGCTACTAGTACAGTGAGCAAAGATGCAATAACAAAGAATGTCCTTTCATACTAATGCATTACAAATCCTAGATTCTCATACTGTTGACATCACTATTGTAAAATATCCTTGTGAGGAGAGTTTAAAACCTGCTCCTCTTGAAAAGTATGTAATCTGCAGGATTTCCTTATCACAGAAGGACCTATTCATATATGATACTTTTGTTCCTTGAAAGATACACACAGGAAATACTTAAATTACTTAGAGTGTAAAAAGAAAAAAAAATATTTTCAGTCTCCTGCTCCTTAACGCTCCAATACACACATTATTTGACAAATTTATAAGATTCATGACATTTCTGAGAAAACTTCCTCATGATAATTATGCAAAGATAAGATTGAAACATGATTTAGTTGAGTGGTATCTGTTAAGAAACAAGTAGTGGTGATATCTAAGCAAATTATAAGTAGTTAATAAGAGTGGGTCCATTTCAAAAATACTAAACAATATTTACAAAGTTCACGAAAATTAAACATATGATCAATCTGCATATTCTAATGTACAAGTTGGTGTCTTTAGAGGTAATGTGCAAGGGCTCGCTGTATAGTTTGAATAGGATGTATTCATGTTTACAGTAAATACCAACCTTTCATGGAAACACCTAAACAACTTTCTGACTTTGGTTCATCAATGATCTTAAATACAAGTATGTTTACAAAAAGCAATTTCAACAACTTTATATATTAAAACAAGCTCATATTGTCTTGCAATTTCTCATTTAAGTTCATTTTTGCTATATCAACAGAAATACATTGACTTTTTTTTCTCATCATTTTTGTCAATGAAAGTTGTGTATATTGGGGCATTAAAACTGTACTTAGAATGTACATGTACTGTTGTTTCCCCCACTTTTCTCTAATGTAACTCAAGAACAGATTTTCCCTTGTATCAAATATTTGTTTCTTCTCTTGACACTATAAAGGGTAAGGAGTTAATTGCAACAAACTCAAGCTTCGCGGGTTTAGTAGCTGGTTAGACTTATTGTCGACCAGTTTCGCCTCCGGTCGAGGCTTCATCAGGACAATTTTAAAAATGAAGTACTTTTTTCGGGGTTCAACATAATTATAACGTAATATCAATGTGTATTGTTGTACGGGCAGATAAGCCTCTGAATTATTACGTATTTTATTATGTAGATATTCCGACAGTAGCCCTGCATACCCCTAGGTATCTAACCTCAAGTGAAGTACCACACTGAACCACACACTTACCTAGATAGCAATGTTTACTCTATATACCCCGTTTTTTCTCTTGACACTGTTGCTTCACTTCTCCAATTCACCAGGCTTTATATTTTCTTTTTACCAAGCAATAACTTATACTTGTCATAATGTACCAAGCTTATTGATTGATTGGTAAAATCAGTTGATATTATCTACCTGTACTGTAAGTGCTACCATTCTGTACCTACCATGTCTTTATTTACCGTACAATGGTCCCAGGTGAACATCGTTTCATAGGCATGGTGTAGTCATACTTTTGTATGAAATATTGGGCTACTTCTGTAGTTGTTTAGAAAAATCTATAGAGTATCTGTTTACATATCTGATGTGGAGTGTAAGCAACAATACACAAAGTTTACATAAGGGAATTGATAATTAACACTGATAGGGAAGTAAGGCATCAATTATATATGTCACGGTTGAATCTACTGTACTTATACTATCATTCTGCTGGTTGTCTATACACTTACCAGAATTAATCTCTCCTTCACTTGAGATGGTCCACTCTGCACTGTAATACAGGTAAATGTACGCTTTCTTTATCATTTCAAAAATAATCGTTACGTAATGTGTTTTTTAATTGGATGGTGGCCATCTCTTCGGTTGAGACAGGTGATCAACATCAACACTGAGATTTTCTTTTAATGACATGAATGACATGCTCAAATGTGTCATCCAGGTGTGAAGCTGAGCATGTGATAATGAAAATCTTTGTGATATATACTGATTCACTTTTCTCTGCTTCAAGTGAGCTTATCAGTGATAATAGAATGTAACTAATGTAGATTGTGGAAAATGTGTAAAGAACAGAATTTTTGTTTCTTTTGACGGTCATAGTTAATTGAAAAATGGGTACTTGTATCAAGTATCAGTTGTAAGTGCATCTTTGTAAAGTATTTTGTATTTAAGCAGTAGAACATCAACATTCTTCAGTGAGATCAAAATATAATTTACTCTGCCACCTCTATTTAGGTTATCCAACTACAAATGCTGCTGTTTTCATTCTGTAATGCCATTTATGGGATTATAATCTCTATGTTAAGACCACTTGTCTATAAAGGCCAATTTTCTCTGCTCCTTTGAGTGACCTTTATAGACAGGTTGGGCTGTAATCAGCCATTCTGTCTTTGGTAAAGAAGTAAAGGTAGTGTTGTAAGCAGGGTACCTTTTTTTTCGTACACAATGCTAATATCTTTATTTATTGTTGTTTCAGGCTTTTGTGTGTGTGGTAGACAAATCGCCATGGCTGCCAAAGCCAAGCTGCTGAAGGTGGTGTTGTTAGGAGATGGAGGTGTCGGCAAGAGCTCTCTGATGAACCGTTTTGTCAGCAATAAATTTGATGCACAGTCGTTCCACACAATTGGTGTGGAATTTCTTAACAAAGATGTGGAAGTGGATAATGAACTGTACAAGATGCAGATCTGGGATACTGCTGGACAAGAGCGATTCAAGTCTTTACGCACCCCATTCTACCGCGGGGCGGACTGCTGCCTCCTAACTTTTGCAGTTGATGATGTTCAGAGTTATCGTAATTTAAGTATGTGGAGAAAAGAGTTTCTGTATTATGCAGATATACAGGATGGGAACAGTTTTCCATTTGTGATTATAGGAAACAAAGTAGATGTAGAAAATCGTTTAGTTGGGAGTGAAGAGGCCAGGGAATGGTGTCAGGCAAATGGACGCATGCCTTACTTTGAAACCAGTGCAAAAGATTCCACCAATGTCAATGAAGCGTTTCGTGCTGCTGTTAAAAGACTTAAAGACCTTGAGGATGTCATTGAAAACAACACAAAACCTTCACACGGACCAACAGTGGACTTAGCACGGAAAGGCAAATCAAACAGCTCTGGTGGATGTTGTTAAAAGATTGATATAACCCAAGTCATCATATTTATATACAAAATTGTTTTTTCTATGAAGGCATGCATGTGAAGCTTGAAAATAGAGGGAGAGGTGTGACAATGGACATTTTGAAGGTATTGACAATGAAATAATCATGTGCTACATTGAAAGAGGGACCAATATTGTTCACATGATGGAACAAGGGCAGTGCAAGTTTTTAGTACCATGTCTGTATATACAGTAATAATATTGTCCACTGACATTGTGGATCAGTTTGTAAGCTGTGTCAAAATGACACAGACCACTTTGTTGTTCAGTGGTGTGTACACTGTGGGAACTGACTTTATGGTAGAGTGAGTAAGTTGTGTCTACGTGACACTGACCACTTGGTTCAATATGTACACTGGTCTATCTGACCTCATGGTTAAGTCTAGCCGTGTCTTCATGTGTCAGTGGTGTCTAACACTGACCATGACTCACTCTGTACACTGTGGGTACTGACCTGGTGGTAAAGTCTCCCATTTAAGCTGTGTCTACATAATACAGACCACTTCATTAAATCTGTACACTTTGGAAGCTGAGCTCATGGTCAAATCTGTAAACTGTATCTACCAGTATCAATGGTGTCTGTATGACACTGACCACTTGGTTCAGTCTCAGTACACTGGGTGTACTGACCTCGTGGTTAAATCTGTAAGCTATGTCTACAGTCTATACATCAAGGTATTGACATCATGGATCAGTCAGTACACTGTGTCTACAGGACACTGCATCACTTGAGTCAAGATTTAAAAGTATAAACACTGTTTACCAAATAGGAATTGTGAAATTAAGTAAGGGCACTAGTACTGCAGTGTTGACATGACTTTGACCGTGTACTTAGGTAGTTCTGTACTCCTGTTTGCATCAACTATTTCTTTTAAGATCATTTGAGTTTAGATGCTGTATTCAGCCAAATATGAATACTGTAAATGTACATATTTTAAAGATATTTTTTTCTGGATTCTTTCTTCTGCTGAAGGTATTGAACTCAATAAAAAATAGGATTTTACTTCTTGCATTTTCTGCATGTTTTCACTGATTTGCCAAAGAGTAATAAAGTGTTAAAATTTGATTGCACCAAATTAAGTACATGTTAGAATGGTGTGTTGTACTGACTATCATTGTAAATGTTGGTGGCTCGAAGTAATGCCATACCGGCAGAAGCATCTATCTCTATACATGTAGGAGGCCCCTTACTAGCAGTGCTCTACATATACTGTCTGTATATTTGTACATATTGGAGGCCCCGTACTAGCATTGCTGTGCTGAATGTATCTTTATACATATTGGAGGCCCCATACAAGCATTGTTATACTGCGTGTATATTTGTACACGTTGGTTGCGCCATTCAAGCTCACTTTTGCTGTTTGAACTTTAAAGTTAATCATGGCTTAAATCCAGTAGAATCTACAATAAAGATAGTGTTGATGCCTGGTACAGACAACAAAGGTAGTGTTGATGCCTGGTACAGACAACAAAGGTAGTGTTGCTGCCTGGTACAGAAATTAAGATAGTGTTGATGCCTGGTACAGACAACAAAGATAGTGTTGATGCCTGGTACAGACAATAAAGGTAGTGTTGATGCCTGGTACAGACAATAAAGGTAGTGTTGATGCCTGGTACAGACAATAAAGGTAGTGTTGATGCCTGGTACAGACAATAAAGGTAGTGTTGATGCCTGGTACAGACAATAAAGATAATATATATACCTAGAGTATATTGCCTGTTGTGTTGTAGCATGTATAAAGATGGCATGTGCTATCACAGTAGTGAAATATTACCAATACATAGCTGTGACTGCAATTATTTTACAGTTATATAATTTAAATAGCCAACCGTAAACATGCTTTATATACACAGTTATTTAGCTTCAAACTGAAGCATGTGTTTATAAACATATTTTATTGTCATAGTTAGAAGATGCATTCATTTATGTAACATCAGATGCTTTTGTCATCATCGAACATTTTTACTGGTTTTTAACACTGTTATGTTATAACTGAATGATAAAAAAAATATAAACATTTAACTTCCTAATGCAGTTTCTTCTTAGCTTCACAAGAAGTGTCTACAATTATGACGTTACAGTTGTCTAAGTCACATCTTTACTACAGGAGGTCAGGACTTATTGGGGAAGATTTGAAGGTGATCACCTCCCACCCTATAAGATATAGGCCATTTTTCAATTTTTCCACCCAAATAGGCATTGCTGTCAGATGCTGTTTCCTGGTTTTGTGGGTTTTTTGTGGATGATTGAGTGTCCAGATGGATTAGGACAATGCTATCCTAACAGTAGCACGATCTCAGTCAGAGTAGATATAAAGCATTATCATATACAAAATTGATTGATATTGCCAATTTGAATCTAGGTTTCATCTTCTTTGTGACAGATTCCGTCATGGATTTCCTTTGACAGTTGTTATGTACAAAGCATTATGGGATTCGAAGGCTAAATATAGCTATTAATTAACATGTTATCATTTTACCAGTTGTCGGACTAGTCCAATCGTATAAGGATTTCCTTTATCAGATATGTAATAAGACATTTTCTGAAACTTGCAGGAATATCATATTTAATCATGATATTTAGACAAAATTGAATTTGTACTTTGTACAATTCTATCGTAAAATGGACATGTTCTTCAGATGTGACCACCATTAAGACCCATTGCAAATGGCAAAACCTATACATTTAGATTCACATTTTCCAAACCCAGATTTTAATATATCAATATAATTTTTTTTTTAGTTGAAAATCCTTAAAGGTGCCTTTTTATGTAGCAGGATTACTCAATATAACAACTAGTAAGCCTAAAGTGTAAAAGTAACCTTATTAGTTGCTGTGTGTAATGTTAAATTTTGTAGTAGAATGACCCCTCTTAAAGATTCAACATTACCAAAGTTAAAGTTGAGAACAACAGTTAAAGAAAAAGGAGAAAGAAAGAAAAGATAACCCTGGGAAGATATTTTTATTGGAAACATTTTTTGCAGTTTCTACAGATACTTGTCAATGTCAGATGTTTTAATTCATCAATCAAATAGGTTTTAATTTATTATTTATATGTTTGGTTAACATGCTGTGTGTTAATGCAGTTTAATAATACATCATATGTGATAAGTAAAAATCTAATGTTGAATTTGCTTATTAATTATTGATAGGATTCAATGAAAACGGAAACAGAAAAATAACTTTTTTTTTATATAGTTTCATCATAAATACATATCTTTTAATTTGGTTGAACGATAACAATGCCAAAAAAATCCTGTGAATTCTTGAGATGATATGGATGTGGTTTTGTATCAATGATTGTGATGTAGGAGAATTGTGATATTTCAAGTTCTAATATATATCTATAAATTTACACAAAATGTAACACTTCTAATTAGTCAGATCTCCTGATGCTTTACAATATATATATATATATATATACATATATCTGAATATAGTTGACTTATGAAATGAAAAATAACACCAGCTTTATATTACATTTAGAGAACACTTGATCTCATTAAAGGGATATTGTGAGGACATGTAAGTAGTTCTACCAGATGTGATGACATTGTAGCTCTGTACTGTATGTTATGCCATTGTGGCACTGTACTGTATGTGATGACATTGTGGCACTGTACTGTATGTGATGACATTGTGGCTCTGTACTGTATGTGATGACATTGTGGCTCCATACTGTATGTGATGACATTGTGGCACTGTACTGTATGTGATGACATTGTGGCTCTGTACTGTATGTGATGACATTGTGGCACTGTACTGTATGTGATGACATTGTGGCTCTGTACTGTATGTGTTGACATTGTGGCTCCATACTGTATGTGATGACATTGTGGCTCCATACTGTATGTGATGACATTGTAGCTCTGTACTGTATGTGATGACATTGTGGCTCCATACTAGATGAGATGACATTGTGGTCCTGTAACAGATATGATGGCATTATGGTTTTCTTGGGGTCATTTTGGCTTCATGCCAGATGTGATGACATTGTGGCTTTATACCAGATTAGGTGTCATTGAGACTGACCCTGTTTCTTCCTTGTAATTACAGAAATAAGTTCCTCTTAAACTAAAAGACAACTCCTAACAGTCACCAAACTATAACTATCAGTACTCCCGTTATCTCCAACTAACACTCAGCAAACTGCCTTCCTTTCTAGTGGCAGGGAAAACTCTTAGAACAACAGTCAATTTCAACCTTTATCATTGATCATCCTTCTAGTGAAAGTTACTATTCCAGGTTAACATCCTTTTACCCTCCAACACTGACCTGACATTATCTCACGTGCTACTGTCATTGTTCAGAATGTCAAAACAGTTTTTATAGAAAGTATACAGCATCATAATGACGATAGACACTCACTGTCACTGGCTACAACGTCATAGTTCAGGACTCCAGAATAACTTTTATACTTAGTATATACAGCGTTGCTGGGATAGTAGATACTCTCATTGGCTACAACGTCATAGTTCAGGACTCCAGAATAACTTTTATACTTAGTATATACAGCGTTGCTGGGATAGTAGATACTCTCACTGGCTACAACGTCATAGTTCAGGACTCCAGAATAACTTTTATACTTCGTATATACAGCGTTGTTGGGATAGTAGATACTCTCACTGGCTACAACGTCATAGTTCAGGACTCCAGAATAACTTTTATACTTCGTATATACAGCGTTGCTGGGATAGTAGATACTCTCACTGGCTACAACGTCATAGTTCAGGACTCCAGAATAACTTTTATACTTCGTATATACAGCGTTGCTGGGATAGTAGATACTCTCACTGGCTACAACGTCATAGTTCAGGACTCCAGAATAACTTTTATACTTAGTATATACAGCGTTGCTGGGATAGTAGATACTCTCACTGGCTACAACGTCATAGTTCAGGACTCCAGAATAACTTTTATACTTAGTATATACAGCGTTGCTGGGATAGTAGATACTCTCACTGGCTACAACGTCATAGTTCAGGACTCCAGAATAACTTTTATACTTCGTATATACAGCGTTGTTGGGATAGTAGATACTCTCACTGGCTACAACGTCATAGTTCAGGACTCCAGAATAACTTTTATACTTCGTATATACAGCGTTGCTGGGATAGTAGATACTCTCATTGGCTACAACGTCATAGTTCAGGACTCCAGAATAACTTTTATACTTCGTATATACAGCGTTGTTGGGATAGTAGATACTCTCACTGGCTACAATGTCATAGTTCAGGACTCCAGAATAACTTTTATACTTAGTATATACAGCGTTGCTGGGATAGTAGATACTCTCACTGGCTACAACGTCATAGTTCAGGACTCCAGAATAACTTTTATACTTAGTATATACAGCGTTGCTGGGATAGTAGATACTCTCACTGGCTACAACGTCATAGTTCAGGACTCCAGAATAACTTTTATACTTCGTATATACAGCGTTGTTGGGATAGTAGATACTCTCACTGGCTACAACGTCATAGTTCAGGACTCCAGAATAACTTTTATACTTCGTATATACAGCGTTGTTGGGATAGTAGATACTCTCACTGGCTACAACGTCATAGTTCAGGACTCCAGAATAACTTTTATACTTAGTATATGCAGTGTTGTTGGGATAGTAGATACTCTCACTGGCTACAACGTCATAGTTCAGGACTCCAGAATAACTTTTATACTTCGTATATACAGCGTTGTTGGGATAGTAGATACTCTCACTGGCTACAACGTCATAGTTCAGGACTCCAGAATAACTTTTATACTTAGTATATGCAGTGTTGTTGGGATAGTAGATACTCTCACTGGCTACAACGTCATAGTTCAGGACTCCAGAATAACTTTTATACTTAGTATACAGGGTTGTCGGGATAGTCGATATTGTCACTGGCAACATCAGCATTGTTCAGGAGGTCAAAACAATTTTATTAAGTTTCGTCAAGACAGTAGAGACTCACTCTGACCAACTACAATGTCGTAATGCAGGACATGGAAACAGTTTTGACACAAAGTACAGCATCGTCACCTTCTATCATTCACTTTATAAGAAATTAAATTCATAAGAAAGATTATGGGTAGAAAGTTAGCTAGACATCTTGATGATTCTAAATTCATTTCTGACATATACAACACATTACATTATGGGTTGAATGTACTGAATTTATATATATATCTGTTCAAGTTATTTATAACTTAAGGATTTCAACTTGATTTTAACATGTTTACATGTAGTTAGAAAATTGTTTTTCAGTATCATTTAAAATGTAATGCAATGAAGTATGAGTCATTATGTCTACTAGTCCTTGTGTAAAATGAGTTGAAATAAAAAAATTAATTAATTACTACTTTTTTGAGAATGTTAGTATAGGTATTGGTACTAATGATTATTTGATGTTTATAAAGTAGAAACAAATAGATTCCAGATTGTGAAATAGTGAATTATTAGATTACCTCAAACATAAATTATTTGTTAGATAACCTCCAGTAATAAATTGTAATATTGATTTAGAGCAAGTTGTGTGGTGAAAGTGCTGTTTATGTGTGATGTACTGGAATGTAATACTCCACTGTTTTATAAAGATCATGGCGTCTTACCACATGTAGACAGATTTATAGAATACAGCACATGGTTTCTGTATTGCAAGATCTGTATGTGAAGCATTAATGGTAGAATACAACACACAATTTATGTGTTATTGGTAGATTTTGGCAAATGATTTCTGTCAGATACAGGTACTGTTTTTTAGAGTAGAATATGGCACAGGATTTCAGTATTTCTGTGTTAATTGTAGAATATGACACATTATTTCTGTATTTCTGTGTTAGTGGTTGAATACGGCCCATGATTTCTGTATTTCTGTGTTAATTGTAGAATACGGCACGTGATTTCTGTGTTAATGGTGCAATAAGGACATAATTTCTGTATTTCTGTGTTAATGGGAGAATACATCCCATGATTTCTGTATTTCTGTGTTAATGGGAGAATACATCCCATGATTTCTGTATTTCTGTGTTAATGGTAGAATCAGCACATGATTTCTGTATTTCTGTGTTAATGGTAGAATACAGCAAATGATTTCTGTGTTAATGGTAGAATACGGCACATGATTTCAGTATTTCTGTGTTAATGGTAGAATACGGCACATGATTTCTATATTTCTGTGTTAACGTAGAATATGGCATGATTTCTGGATTTCTGTGTTAATGGTAGAATACGGCACATGATTTCTGTATTTCTGTCTTAATGTAGAATACAGCACATGATTTCTCTATTTCTGTGTTAATGTAGAATACAGCACATGATTTCTGTATTTCTGTGTTAATGGTAGAATATAGTACATGATTTCTGTATTTCTGTGTTAATGGTAGGATATAATACATGATTTCTGTGAGATACTTTGCTGTGTGAAGAAGTTTATTATACCCTTCATGATATTTAGTACATAGGAAGTTTGTTACCTCTTGTTCCTGCTATTTACTAACTAAACAAGGATTCTCCGACTTTCCTTATATATATATAGTTGATATAATCCTTTTTATAAGGGCATAAGGAGACTGTATAAGGCAAACTCACTCCTGTATACCTCCATTCATACAAAATAGAATATTTTACTGTTGGTTGGTTGGGTTGGGTTGGTTGGTGAACAGGTCTCCATGACTCATCCGGTTGCCGGGCATTATTTCTATATTTTACTGTTGTTCACAGCTTAGCCAATCAGTAATGTGCCTTTAACTTGAGCTGCTAGTGATAGTAAAAGGAAGAGAATACAAAGTCAGTAAAAGCTAGTCAGTACCTGATTCAAACCATTATTAAGGTGAATGATTTCAATAAATTTTAAAAGAGATATTGTTCACATATTTTTGGTAACACATCTGTTCCAACATTTTACAGGTGCAAAAGTCAAATTATGGATTTTTTTTCATATTCTTTTTTCTTTTATATAGATAAAGAAATGCTGAAAATTTGAGAATTCTGTATTGTTTTACTGATCTGATGGAAAAGTTCATTATTGTTATAAAGATG